TCTGAATTAACGGACATGTAAGTACAGGATATGAAGAGAAATCCTTAATGTGGTAACATGTTGGGTGATTTAAAAAAAGCCAAAACAGTGGATAGAGCAAATCCTCCAGAGGATTTCACAATGTTCTATGATGCAGAAAACTGCAACAGCTTTTATATAACATTTTACATTGAAAGGAAGGAAAGAACCAAGACAGTTCCCCATTCTTCATCATCAAGCCAGGGTTCTTTTTTAAAATTCAATTTTATTTTATTTTCAGTTTCAAATTCTTTCCTTCCCTCCTCCCCTTCCCTGACCTATTGAGAGGGCAAGACAGATAAAACCTATTAAAATGTTTGTTGTTGTTTAGTTGTTTTTCAGTTATGTCTGACTCTTCATGACCCCATATGGGGTTTTCTTGGCAAAGATGCTGGAATGGTTTGCCACTTCCTTCTCCAGTTCATTTTACAGATGAGGAAACTGAGGCAAACAGGGTTAAGGGACTTGCCCAGGGTCACATAGCTAGTAAGCATCTGAATCCAGATTTGAACTCAGGAAGATGAGTATTTCTGACTTCAGGCCTGGTGCTATAAATGCTGACCTGCCTAGCTGCCCCTGCAAATATGTATAGACATGCAAAACAAATGTCCACCTTAGCCATGTTCCAAGAAAAAAAAGGAAGAAAAAAAAGGATAAAAAAATATGTTTCTATCCATACTCTGAGCTATCAGTTCCCTACCTGGAGGTGGATAGCAAACTTCATCATGACTCCTTTGGAATTGTTGTAGGTCATTGTATTGATTACAGCTACTAAGTGTTTCAGAGGTGATCATCTTCATAAAATCACTATTACTGTATAAATTGTCCTTCTGGTTCTGCTTCCTTTACCCTGCATCAGTTCATACAAGTCTTCCCAACTTTCTCTGAAATCATCCTCTTCATCATTCCTTACAGCACAAGAGTATTCCATCACATTCCTATGCCATAATTCCCCAAGATGCGCATCCCTTCTTGTTTCCAATTCTTTACTATCACAAAAAGACATGCCAGGGTTCTCTGTGGTTAATAAACTTCTCTAATTCAGTATCCAGTCCTTAGCATGGCATCTTGTACATAGCAGGCACTTCATAAATGCTTGTTCACTTAATTGACATCTTGACATTTCTCCCTTCATTTCACTTTCTAAAATAAAGCAGTGCCAAAAATTTCATCCCCAAATGGAGACATATGGATATAATTTTACAACCAAACTAATCTAAGCTTCAATTTGGCTCCTCTTCTTTCTTATAAAAAGACTTTTCCCTTTCTCAAGGACTTAGGATCATAAATCTTGCAATGGCAGGACCTTAGAAAGCATCTGGTTTGACCTTCTCTTTTTATGGATAAGGGAATAGGCCCAGAGAGATTCACTGATTTGTTGAAGGTCACACGCAAATAAGGGGCAGACAGAGATTTGAAATCAGCTTCCTCCAACTCTAAATTCAGCACTCTGCTTACTATATCATACCAACTTGGCCCTGATTAAAAGCTTTTTTTTATGATTCATGATAAGGAATAATAAATGTAAGGTAATAATTTTAAAAGAAAACTTAACTGAGCCCAGAAGGATTAAACAGTCCTTTTTAAAAGTATATTATTTATAATAGTAACTTTAAAAAAAAACCAAATACTCATACATTTAAGGAAAATGGATATTCCCTCCAACAATGAAAATCACTAGGATAATATAGAATAATGGCTTGCAGGGGCAGTGAGGTGGCACAGTGGATAAAGCACTGGCCCTTAAGTCAGGAGGACTTGAGTTCAAATCTGGCCTCAGACACTTGACACTTCCTAGCTGTGTGACCCTGGGTAAGTCACTTAACCCTGACTGCCTCACCAAAAAAAAAAAAATAATAATGGCTTGCCTTTATATGGTGCTTTATACTTTCCAAAAGTATATTGTAGCAACACTTTGAGGTAAAGAATGCCCATACTGTTATACCCATTTTATGGATGAAGAGAGTGATCTTTAAAGGAATAGTGGCTTGCCCAAGGTCACATAACTAGCAAGCAGCAGAGCCCAGACTGGAGCCCAAGTCTCCTGGCTTTATCTCCAGTGCCATTTCCAACCATCCTTTAAAGAAATATTTGTATTGCCTAGATTTCAATCAATCAATCAATATTTATTGAATGCTTATTATGTGCAAGGCACTGTGCTATTCCAGGCTGCTTCTCTATCTCTGTATACACATGAAATGAAATGTAAAACTATACCTTCTATCCAAACAGAATTTGGGGAGTGAAGCACAGTTGATTTTTAAATAATTAACATGTTGGTTTTCACCTGGGTAAGTGATTGCACCAAGGATGTAAGCTATCCTTGGCTTCTGCCCCTGAAAAGAGGTTTGGCAACTGTTCAACAACACAAAGCAATATTACATAAGAGGAAAGTACAGGAAGCAAAGAAAAATACCACATTGAAGTGAAGCTTCAGGGCCTTTGGGTAGGCAGAACACATTCCTAAAGGGAAAAGAGTCAATGGCCAGACCACTGGGGTGAATACCCGCAAGAAATTGGTCAGGGTTGTTTTTTTTTTCTTTCCTTTTTTTTTTTTTTTTAACAACAATTCATCCATATGTGAAGCAGCGTCTTTGGCAGTGGGCATGCAAGTGGGAGAGTTTCGCTGCTGCCTTTAGAGCCTGAATTTGATCATGGGATCTTTGGAGAGCTTTAGTGTAGATTTTTCCCCTTAAAATTTTTTCTTCAAAGCTCGTCAAGGAATATGTTCTAAATGATGAAATATAAATTTAATGGAAGGGGATAAAAGTCTGAGGCTGTCAACCTTGTTAGTGGCTCTGAAAAATCATTCTCTGATCTAGCTTTTTTCCCCCCAGAATAGAAATATCTTTTTAAAAAAAGGAATTACAGGATTATAGAATTTAAAGTTGGAAGGGTCCATAGAGATTAAATCTGTCCAAGCTGGTTTTAATTTATCAACTTCAGGGGAGGAAGAAACCTTAACCTCTTTATAGGTTTGTTTTTTTAAAAGAAAAAAAAACTATCTCCAAGACAAGTCTTAGTCCCAGGATGGGAGGCCCAGCTCATTCCACAGTCAGCACTTTCTGGCTTTACAGTATTTGCCCATTAGAGTCAGGTTTTAAGTTAAAACTTAGAAATACCTGGAAGAGCCAACCCAAATACCTAAAGGATATGCTGTTTCAGATGATGACAAAATAAAACCCAGCAAATTCCCAACCAGACATACTCCATTGTTATTTAATGAAAACTGATAGAAGGTATTATAATAAATAAGATTCAATACCAAAATGCCATCCTTGATAGGTCATTGTTTCACTGCATAGCAGATTAGCATTTGTACCTTTAAGCACATGCTTTAAAACCTTAACCATTTCACTACAGCGAAGGTGTAACTCAGCCCTTATAAATCAGATAACAACTGGGGTGAAGGATTTATACAAATTCCTATCTACAATAGGCTTTATAGTCTGGGGGTGGGGTAACTTTGCTAATAAAGAGCTTGTGAAATCAGCTTCTTCTGTTAACCCTATCTCATGTACAAGGAAACTGAGGCAGAGCATGATCAATTCATATGAAAAGACTGTACCTTCGATGCAAAAGCATCATTCCTGCATTTTGAATCAGTTATTAAGTCCATTGACCTCCTCCTGCTTCATTTTAAGTAAAAAGTGTTTACTCTACCAACTCAGAGGGTTGTGCGCATTAACTGAGACTGAGCTATGCATGGTAGCTTTCAAATATTAAGAGTACTTACAAATTCCATTTACTTGTCTCTACCTATTAGGATGAATTCAAATATATCTTGCACATCATGCCTTTATCAGATATTTGATGTGAATGCAATTCATTCCATACATTTGGAAAGCCTACTTAATGATCATATCTTTTATTAGAAAATAGTCCTGATTCCATGAAAAACCATTTTTTCCCACTACGACTGCAGCACACTCTTTTGGAATTTTTATTTGACATCTAAATAAAAGAAATGTTAAGTTTTAAGATACCAGTTGGAAAGCAAGTTTGGAAGATGAAAATATCCTTCCATGTTACACTTCTGTGGTCTAGTTTCTCCCTCTTTCCATATTAAAAGGCTAAAAGACATTCAGTTTGAGCTGAAAGGATGAATACTGCAAGCACTTGGAGCCAAGTTGCATGACTTCTGGGATATCACCCTTGAAAATGCCAGTGTACATAACTAGGAAATGGCCCTGCGTCTGTGTGTCACGTACAGATCGACTGCTACACATTAGCTGAATGGTGTTGAAAGAGGCTTCCAAGACTTTACAGGGCAGGCATCGTGTTTTCAATACATGCTGCATTGACATACACTTTGCATCAACCCACCCACACATCATCTTGATGGAAAAATAATGACTGGAGTACAGTTGATAAAACACACTAAACAATAATTAAAAGCTACATAAAAGTGTAAGAAAATTATGCAAAAATTGAAGAGTAGCTGTTAGTGTCAGTGCTTCAATAGTCCCAGGGTAAGCCCAACTCCTTTCATCATGGTCAATTCATTAACACAGGAGAAAAGCCAGAAAGGAAGGGAAATGCGGACCATCTGCTCAATCCAGATGCAAGAGCACATGCTTCTCACATCCAAGGCTATTTAGCAGAACTGAACTGAGCTAAGACCTAATCCTCTAATCAAAGATCAACAAAGGTCTTTTGACACATTTGCATTACAAATAAAAATTAATCTGGCATCATAATTAAGTGTCAGTTTTCTTTATTTCACTAGGAAATCTGCACTGATTAGATGAAATTCCCAAAGAGGTATTACAGAAAATGGGCTTGGATTTCTCTTAACTTCTTATCTTTTCTGGTAATAAAATAAGTCTAAAAACATTTTATTCTCTAAACAGCATAAGCATTTTCATTATTACCCTTGTTTTTAAATTACAGAAGCAGCTATCCCTTTGATACTGAATCTTTCTGCTAAAAACACACTTTTTCTTCCTAAGAAAGGGTTAAAAAAATGAAGACATTCTTACCTTGAAATTATGAACCTTTTCATATTTCGGAATCTGCTCATTTTCTTTCAGAGTTGCTCTTCTAACGAGGGATGTCAACTGCGAATAAGCAAAGAGTTTAAGAGGTTGCCAGATTGTCACAGATGACTTTTGAGAACCCAGTTTCATTCCCAGGGCTGCTATCAACACATCTTGCTGGCGGTTCTCTCGTTTTGATTTGTGAACTGCAGGTCTATTCGTTTTCCTCCCTGACCAAGACTCTTTGGATGGCATTTTGGAATGCACAGGAAAGAAAGACCTATATTGATCTATGTCTGTCGATGAACTGTACTCAGCTCATAAAAATGAGCATTCTTCTAGCAACTCAGACCCCTAACCTACAGAGAGCTGCAGAGAAACATCACGAAGAGGTGGAGTAGGATGATGAAGCACTTCTTAAAAAGAGGTCGACTTTAACTAGACAAATTCTTCTGGCTTTTTTTTTTTAAAGGGATCTCTATTTAAGCTCTGGGAAACTTAAGGATCTGAATTGAAAAAGAGTCGATGCTAACATACAAAAATCCAAACATCTCTCGCCAACCCCTCTTTTAGAAACCATGGGATTAAGACATATTATGCACTTCTAAAAGCTTTCCTGCCTATTCAACTTTAGTGATGTCCACTTTGAATGAAAGATGCCCACATACTGAATATAATCAGTGTCTAGCAACTGACACCCTGCTAACCTCACTCTAGAAAAAGTAGGCTGGGGGAGGGGAGGGCTTTAACAGGCAAGGCTGGATTAGAATGGTCACATTAAGAAAGTAGATAACCAATGAAAGCCCCGCAACAGTATTTAAGGCTGGTATTCCTCCCTTCTCTCTCTCTCTCCCTCTCCCTCTCCCTCTCCCCCCCCCACTCTCCCCTCTCTCTTCTCTCCCTCCCTCTCCTCTGCTCTCTCCCTCCCCCTCTTCCTCTCCTCCTCCTCCTTCTCTCGCTGTCTCCCCCCTCTTCCCCTCTCTCCCTCTCCTCGCTCTCTCCTTCTCCTCCTCCTCCTCTCTTCTCTTCTCTCTCTCTCCCTCGCTCTCTCTCTCTCCCTCCCTCCCCCTCTCTTCTCCTCCTCCTTCTCTCTCCTCTTCTCCTCTCTCTCTCTCCTCTCGCTGTCTCCCTCTCCCTCTCTCCCTCTCCCTATCCTCTCTGTCCCTCTCTCTGTGTCTCTGTCTCTCTCTTTCTCTCTCCCCACCCCTTCTCCCCTTCTCCCCTTCTCCCCTTCTCCCCTTCTCCCTTCTCTCAAATATTCTAGCTGGCTCAAGGGGAAAAAATATCAGTAGGAAGATAATGAGCAATGAGTGAGTCATGCATCATTACAAAATGGCATCTCTTACCATTTAAAAGCAAGGTGAGATTGAAACACATAGTTGGTGTTTTAAAAGAATGAACTATTCAGGAAAGAGGCTAATCCGTCTCTCTCATTGTTCAGTAATTCATATATGATGTATATATGTATGTATGTATATACACACACAGTGAAGCTAGCAACTACAACACAATTCTATTAAAAAGACAAGTTTATGAAGCAATTAGGGGAAGAACAGAGAAGTTTTTGACTATCAGATAGATCCAAGTACATTTAGGAACAGGTCTATTATGCAACTAACCTTCACAACCACCCAAAGCAGTTTTGCCTTGGGTCTACAGTGCCCCCCAGGCAATTCTTTAAGATCACAAATTACAGAGTGCTTGCTGATCTGTATTGGTAGTAGGAGTTTTCTCACACCTAATACCAATGAAATTGGAGGTCTGGACATTCTCCCTGACCCTGCCACCCCCTCATCTCCACCTCCACTCAAAAAAAAAAAAAGTTGAAAGACTCAAGCATTGCTTTATGTCTCAATTACCAAACTTTTTAGCCCATAGCTGTGAATTAAGGCACTGATCCAGCCTGAGGTTCATTAGAGTTGAGCACCCAACTAGATAATAAGGGGAATCTTTAATGATACTGCCTGTGAAGTATGTGGACTTGTGCTTTATATCTGTAGGACCTCTGGTTAAGTGAGACACTGGGTCTAGGAATCAAATCCAGCTCAACTACATGTAGTAACACTGAGCACATTTATTGAAGTGCTACAACTTTCAGTACCACCAAAGCCCCCTCTTCAAATTATTTTCTATCTGCCTGCTTTTTTAAAAATATGCTATATATTTTTAACAGTGCTATTGAACAGGAAAACAATTTATTTTTTAATCCTGTTATGAGTAAAACTGAATCAGTACAACTTAACAGTATGTTTGTACTCATAATACTTGAAATTACTCAGAATAAAACTATTTGTTCTTTGTACAACTATTAATTTTCAAATAATGGGGTAAAAGAAGTCATTTGAATATACTTTTGTAATAATATGCTTAAATTTAGATATCCTTATTTCTCAGATGATTTTTGTTTTTGTTTTTCCCTTTTGAAACAATGGGTATATTTCTAATCACCCAGCACAGTGACAAGGAAAATAATTCCTTGTTTTAGGGAAATTAAATTTAGGGAATGAGAAAGGAAAGGATCTCAGCCCAGAACAAAACCACAAGACAGGAAAAGGTCAACCTCAGACAGCAATAATGTTGAAAAAGCCTATAATTTGGAAACAAGTTTATGAGGAGAATAAATTTTGATTCTAATCTACATGGTGCTTGAAGAATCTAGAAATCTTTCTACTTGAATAAATCAAGTCCAGCTTTTACAGCACAAACAATTTCAGTTCAGACTCTGTGTTCTTTGGTGGTGTGTACCAATTCAAATCAACAAACATTTATTAAGTGTCTACTATGTGCCAGGCACTGTGCTAAAGGCTGGGGATACAAATAAGAAAAATAAAAACAGTTCCTGCCCTCAAGTAGCTTAGACTCTAACAGGAGAAGCTGACACACAAAAAGAAGCTGAAAAGTTGGGGGTAGGGAAGAGACACTAAGGGGCATCTTGTTCCATGGATTTAAACCAGGAAAAGCTGCAGGATCAAAGTGGAATGAGCTGGAAATCCAATTTCTACCCACTATAGAGAAAGGCTTGGTGGGGGTGGGGGGTGGGGGTGGGGAGTTTAGTATTCCACCCTCCAGCCCTCCAGTTATACATTTTAGTCTAATCAAGGCATGAAGGAATCCTTAATCCATTCCAGGTGATCAAACTGTTTTATGTTTGGTTTTTCATACTTTCCAAAGTGATTTTTATTTAATTATTTATTTTAATTGTTTGATCTGTTTCCAAACTGTCATGACTATTTTAAACGAATACAGACATAAATTGACAATTTACATTTAGGTATATCCCAATTTCATGTCTCTATACCCTTTGGGTTATTTGTGTGACACAAAAAAGGCTTCCCTTCTGATGGAAAATGCAGTTTGACTTTTTTTTTTTAAACTCAGGTTATGTTGGCAGGAATCTGTAGCAACACTGGGTGACTTAAATATATATATTGACCTTTTAAAAATCAGCAACAGGTAAGGGCAGGCCTTCTACATGGCTGATTTTTTTAATTAAAGACTATTCTATAACTATCTCCAGTACCAAAGGATGTAAAACATTAAAGACCTCCCCAAAATAATCTCTCTACATTGCACCTCGTGACTCCTGATGAGCATCTCCAAATCACCGCTCCTTATTTAGCTGACAATCTTCTGGCCAGCAATCTTGGCCTTTTTGCCAGGCTGCCTCTGTGCCATGGGACAGAGACCACAGCGCTGTACTTCAAGGAATAGTTGGGAGCTCTGATGAATGAGTCCTCAGGAAGTTGAAATATCAATGACTCTATTGGGAATGTAGTAGTGGGAACATAGTAGTTGTGAGTGTTGTGAGAAAGTCATCCCAGAGGGGAATAATAAAAAAAAAATAATAGCTAGTATCACTATGGTACTATGGGGCAGCTAGGTGATGCAGTGGATAGAGTGCTGGGCCTGGTGTCAGGAAAGCTCATCTTCCTGAGTTCAAATCCAGCCTCAGACACTAGCTGTGTGACCCTGGACAAGTCACTTAACCCTGCTTGCCTTGGTTCCTCATCTGTCAAATGAGCTGGAGAAGGAAATGGCAAACCACTCCAGTATCTTTGCCAAGAAAACTCCAAAATGAGTTTTCACAAAGAGTTGGTCACTACTAAAAAAACTGAACAATAACAACAAAATGAGCTAGAGAAGGAAATAGCAAACCACTCTAGTATCTTTGTCAAGAAAACCCCAAATGGGGTCTCAGAGTCAGATGTGACTAAAAAATGACTGAACAACAACATACAGTACTACAAGGTTTGCAAAGGACTTCATACATGTTATCTTATTTGATCTTTGCAACAATAGGTAGTTGCTATTATTATCTCCATTTTACAAATAAGGAAACTGAGAGTAAGATAAAGTGCTTGTCCAGGGTTGCACAGTTAATGAGTATCTAAGGCAGGATTTGCATTCAGATCTTCTTGACTCCAAACCTAGTGCACTTGGACCATGTGGCAATGTCCCCAAAACCATCTTACTCTGCATTGTGTATGGAACAGACTCCATTATCCCACTATAGGAACATCTGAGTCCAGCTCCATAGCTTCTAGTAATGTCTGACACTCACAGTAAAGATAAATAAGGAGTAGGTGTGAATAAAAAAACTCAGTAATATTTTTGATTGTCTCGTAAGTTTTTCAATCTATCAACTGATTGATTGATCATAAATTTTCCATTAAATCTGGATATGATGGTAAGAAAACGTCCTGAGAGGTCAATTCACGCCTAATTTGGTAGTGAGTGAAGTTTATCCCACATAAAGTAATGAGGAACCAAAAGGATAATTTTATTGAGGATAATTTTAGTAATCTGTACCAACATTTTAGCCTGATTATTTGCTTGAAGGAAGAGGCAGTACAATGCTAATAGCTTAGATAAGGTTCTTGTCCTATTCTTTGCATGAAAATAAACTGAGGTCAATAACAATACTAGCTAGCATTTATATAATGTTTTATGATTTGGAAAGAACTTTTAATGTGTTATTTCATTTGATCCTCATGGCATCCCTGTGAGCAAGGTGCTATTATTATCTCCACTTTACAAATAAAGAAATAGAAAAAAAATTCAAATTGCATTTTTCATTGGAA